CTAGAATTCTTTCTGGCTCTGATTGTGTAGTACTTGGAGCATGGGCATTTGATTCCAGAAACCTCACTTCAGATCCAACTTGCTGGATTAATATATCACTTTCTTGAATAGTGTGTAATGACTTGCCAGTGCTATTTGACTCACAAAGTGAAGCAGTATTTATAAAGCTTTTCTGGCCCATCAGGTTTTTACTAAGGTATTCTTTTTCAAAATTTATTTTTGCGTATACACTTTTTAAAACTGTCATGTTAAGTGTATGCTACACAGAAAAGAGTAAGTTGTCTAGAGGTATTTCCACTCAGTTGTAAAATGGTGCTTTGGGGTAATTTGACCTGATTATATGATTCTCCTGATTCACACAGTATTAACTAGTGTTTTAATTCAAGAAATTCTATATATACATTTCTTTAGAATATTAGAAGATCAGGAAGTACTTAAGTTTACTCTTTTGTATATACAATCAATCCACTGGAAAAACCAGTGCTTATCTGACCTTTATGACTGGGGGCATGGTGTTCACCTCCACTCTCCTTTGCCTTGATTCTTTAAGCAGTTTGGATCTTTATGACCTCTACGTTCAAATTTGTCTTGGGTTGTGATGAACAGTAAAAGATGAAAGTGCCAGTATAATCTCAATCTATTATGAGTTTTTAAGGCCACTTATTGAGCAGTTATTTTACACATAAAATTTGCCCATTTCATTCATTTACTTTTAATATGACTGACCTTTTTTTTTTTTTTTTTTTTTTTGAGACAGAGTCTCACTTTGCTGCCCAGGCTAGAGTGAGTGCCGTGGCGTCAGCCTAGCTCACAGTAACCTCAAACTCCTGGCTCAAGGCGATCCTTCTGCTCAGCCTCCCTGAGTAGCTGGGACTACAGGCATGCGACCACCATGCCCGGCTAATTTTTTTTATGTATATATAATTAGTTGGCCAATTAATTTCTTTCTATTTTATAGTAGAGACCGGTTCTCGCTTCTTTGCTCAGGTGGTTTCAAACTCCTGAACTCAACGATCCGCCGCCTTGCCTCCCAGAGAGCTAGGATTACAGCGTGAGCCACCTCGCCCGTCTGACTGACCTTTTAACCACTTCGGTACGTGCGTCGACTTTAGCTGACAGCTGTGATATGACTTTCTAATTTTTCTTTATCAAAATAAATTGTGAACATTAAAAATAACGTAATAAAAACATATATGTCTATGTACCTATTTGATTACATTACAAGTAAAGCTGCTATAAAGTAAAACAAGTTTCAGTGTTAAAGCTTTCCTCATCACACAAGAGCAAAACGGACTCGTCGTCAATGCACAGCACAAACTATCGTGTGGATTATGAGTGCCGGCTGGGGCAAGGCTATGGGCGGCCGGTGAGCTCCGTACCGAAGTGGTTAGATGGTTTTCTGCTGAACATCTTTGAGATTCTTCTTTTTTAAAAAAAGTGAAGTTTAATATTTCTTAATTGCATTTTAGGTAAATTTTGTTATGTTAGAATTTTTGCTAAACTTTTCTTTTTTCCTATTACATGCCAGTGCAGGAACAAAACTTTGTTTAGAATTAAGACCATTCATACTAGTTATATCATAGTTGCAGCAGAGGATGCATGCAATGTTAAGGCATATTCTTTAGAAAATATGGAACCAGGCT